AGTGGCCACTTCTCCCCCACAGCGTCTCTCCAGAGACCACTCGTAGGGCAGATTTCCACCCCAGAGCATCCGAGCTGGACAAGAACTGCTCTTGCCCCGGCTCTGGGTCACCTCCCCGGGCCAGGAGAGCACCTGCTCAGCGAGGGAACGCCCCGATAACGCCCCCCCTTTCCATCCACAGACACCCAAGAGGTGCTTGCCAGCAGCACCCTGAGCAGCCTGCCTCTGCACCACAGCTGAGAGGAGACCCCCAGCCCGGCATGAGAGCATGCAGCATTACCTCCTTCTTCCTCCTCTTGATTTTGGCAGCCTTGCTATCTTTCAGCTTCTTGGACTTCTTTTTTTTCTGCACAGCAACTTGCTCTTCTGCGAAAAACTCATCCAGTCCTTCCAGCACCCCATCATCTTCTTCTGGGGACAAAAGGGACAGCTCACGCGGATGGATTGCACAGGCACACAGGACAGCGCGTTTGTGTTCATCCCTCTCAGAGGAGCACACCCGAGCGGCAGCATCAGGCCGCGAGACACGGAGCCCCGCAGCCTCTCCTGGAGGGGGATCTGCTGCTGCCCCTGGAGGGAGCCCCGGCAGAGTCGTGCCCAGGAGCACCTGCCCCGGCACTTCTCGTGCCCAGCTCCTCGCTGCCGCTCGCACACCAACACCCGAGGTTTTGGCAGTCTGCATTTCGCTCTTGGGAGACAGGCGCTCTTGGGAGACAGCCCCCCGCGCTGCCTGCTCTTACCAATCTGGGTCCATAGGTAATTAGAGAGCACTAGGCTTTTACCTTTCGGATCTCCAAATAGAGCCCATTAAAACTGATTCAATGGAAGGTGAACGAGGGAGAGGAAGGCCTCGCATAGAAGATGGGTGCCACGGCTCACGGGAGCTTGTTCTGCTGTGGCTCCACGTTCAGGGAGCGCCACGGGCACCCAGCCAGGCTGCGCGCGCCAGCTCAGGGACCCCGGCCCCGGGCAGAGGCACCAACCCAACACACGCTTTCACCTTCCCGTCGTCGTTACCTCCCCAAACCCAGCACTCACCAGCGGCTCCCAGCATCCTGTCCAGTCTTTCTTTAAGGCCTACGTCAGTATTTTTATTTTTAATTTCTGAGCTCATACAGTAATAACACTCCAGAGTGGTAGGGACATAGCTCTTGTCCGACTTCAAGCCGTTCAGGTTGAGGCTCCACCGAATTCATCGGGAAGGGCGGGAGCCGGGTAGTGCCGGGAGCCCACCCCCGCTGGGACCAGCCCACCCCCGCTGGGACCAG